AATCTCATTTCCATTCAAATTTCAATCTGAAGTTTAATTTTGATTTTACTATATCTAGTCTGGAACCCGGAGGTTCCTAGACACCAAATTATTTAAAGACACCAAATAGAGCTAGTGGAGGAATCCAACCAGTCCATCTCTTTGGATTTAAGATAACTGGAGACTCAACTCATGGTTAACAGCCAGAAGACCTGGAAAAACAGCTAAGAACATTTAAATCTAACTTTATCTATACCTAATCATTTTTTTATGCACTTGTCTTTTCACCCGATTGGTGACGTTTAAGATTATTTGCTTTGATTTTATAAAATTTATTGTACCAATTAATCTAATTTTATTAGTATTATTTATTGACTATATTTATTTCTAGAAATAAACTACATCTTACCGTAGGTTGTTACAGCAATTACTAAACTTAATTAATTGTTTTTCAAGCTCTTCAAGCCTTTTAATCTTCAGAATATCTTCGATTTATAATTGCTTTTCAAACTACCTAAAATCATTTATATTTATATAAAATAATAATTAAGGTATATAATTACTCACCTGTTTATAATCAATTTGTGCTTATTTATCTAAAACCACAAAATATATATCTACTCTCATCTCTTAATAGAAAATATTCCGCACTATTTTTGATTTCTTAAAAGAACCCGAATCTGTTTTAAAAGCAACCAAAAACTGTTTTTAATCAAGTAGAGTCGTAGAAAAAATATAGTGTACAACTCGAGTGGATTGTTTATATATGGCCATCATATCCACTATTTTTGTACAAACTACTATATCAGTGGTTGGAAAAAACCACAGCATGAAAGTTTATTTAACATAATACCATGCTCAAGCCTGCCTAACGCCTTGGAAAAGTCAGTCTGTCTGGATTCTATTGGTGGTAGTTTCTGCAATGTAATGTATTATATCAATAAGACTGTAACGGTTGAATGGCCTTTCATCGATCCATGCTATTCTGTCGACATTATATTACTGACGTGATGATAAATCTTCTTTTGAAGCAACAACTCAAACATTTTAAAGAAATTACTATTAATGAAAATTGGACGATATTGTGCTTTGTCCGATTTATCACTCGTTTTAAATACCAGGCAGGTTTACCAATGGTCAGCGTGAACCAAAAGACGGAGGAAGCCAAGCTTTTGTGAGGCGCTCAAACCTCTGTGAGGGGCTCTAAACGTAAAGGGTGGGGGCCCCGAAACGCCACTGACCTTAAAGCAGTAGTTCTAGATAGATGGGATATAGCAAATATTTAAGAGAACTTTTAAGGGATGAGTAAGGATTGAAGCGCAGCCTTTCAAAACATAGAATGGAACCGCATAGTCATTTTAGATTTAATCGATTTTAAAGTATTCATAACTTCGTCTTCGGTAAAAGAATGTATGTTTAAATTAGATATACTTAATAGCTACCGTCAGAATTTGGCTCAGTGGGAAAATCTTCGTACGCATGACTCAAATATATTGTATAAGTTTTTGTAGAAAAGCGTCATTATGGATCTAGTTCTTAAAACTGTCAATCAACTTTTAATAACAAGTCATACATTATTGGAAAATTTACTCTCAAACAATTATAAGAGAGCTGAAAAGAGCTCTCAAATATCTTATTAATCTCTGATGTACTAAGAGTTTTATAAGTTATGACAAGTGAAGGGTAATACTTATCTTCTGCAACTAATGGATCCAAAGATCACTGAACCAAACTAAAGTTATTATATAAAAATAAGTCTAAAATTGTGTACAAAAATCTACTGTGAGAGTGTGAATATTTGTTAAGTACGTTAAGTAAGACAATTAAAGGTACCATTTGGGAAAGCGCGATAAACGACAGGAGACAGAGACAGCAGTAAGGCAGCAAATATTGCCATACTAAATATGTTGTCGTCGGTCTCGTCTACTAAAATTTGTTTCATATAATTACATGTGTTCAGACGTGAAGAGACCGCTTTTGATCTCTCTCGCTGTTGCGTCGCGTTTTGAAGTCGATCACGTTCTCGGCTTGCGAATTGGTAGCTCAAATAACCGAACTGCGTATGCCTTAGATGTTACGTTTGGTTTAGGGAAGCGGGAATAGAATGTAGTTAATATTGATGCTTTCAGTGTAGGTGACACGTTTCTCTCCTTCTATCTAATTTGTTTTTAATCCTTGTTTAAATAAGAAGTTGTTGTGTCGAAGTGCCGCGATCATAAGTGTAAAAATCACGCCAAGCATTAATTTAAATTTTCTCGTGAAAAAAAAATCTCCAATTGAATGTTTTCAAATGTTAAAGGAGGTGTTTGGATATAATTGCATGTCACGTAGTCACATTTTTGAATAACTCAAACGATTTTCGGGAGGTTGGGAGGTTTTTGGAGATGACGAATGTTCTAGTCGACCTGTGACATCAAGAATTGATGAAAACATGGGTACCTCAGGTCCAAATTGTAAACTAGAAGTACTACTGAGATCCTGACAAAACTTAGAGAAAGATTGAGGAAGAAAAAACTAGCTATGAGGAACAAGAGCTTGTAAATTTTGTACTAAGAGAGCTACCCGGAGCACAAAGCGCTCTGTGTGAAACAGTTCTTAGCGGACAAACGCATAACTGTGCTTACCAGATTTCGTACCATGCGACTTCTATCTGCTTGCAAAAGAGAAATGTGCATTGCATGTGGGATCGCATTTTTAGTCTGCAGAAGAGATAAAGGAAAAACGGCAGACTTACTGAAAAAGGTGACATTTAATGACCTGCGGCACTGCATTGAACAGTGGAAAACTTGTGTGTAGCGGTATATAGATAAGGAAGGAGAGTATGTTGAAGGGGATTAAAATCTATTCGTAATAAGATGTCAATAAAGCTAATTTTTAAGATTAGTTCAGTTATTTAATTGTCGTACCTCGTACATATTGTAAAATTAGGTATGTGGGATGCTTAATCTGTACCTATACCTACCTATATTCAAAAATAACGCATTATGCATGAGAAATCTAATGATTAAAAAAGGTAATTTGTTAATGTAGTTTTAGCAGAACATAATAGCAAATTTACAATATGTAGAAATGTGTTTAAATGTGGACCCTACCCTGTATGTGTATGTGTACAAGCCAGTGTATGTTCGTTAAGGAATTTAGAACTAATTTAACCTTATAACCGATAATGAGTACCAACTAACCTAAATCGATTCTTCGTTACCTTACCTCCAGTCTGGAATAATGTACGTAACAGTATTTAATCGTCATTAATTATAACGCGTATGAAGTAACCGATATAAATTCGGATAGAAATTCGATAGCGAAATATCCAGACGAGGTGCTATCATAATAACACCGCACGCTCTCTTCTAATTAATTAAAATTCGCATAGTTACCTACTTTGTTGGACGTATTTTGGACCAGCTCAAAGCGTCAAAGCAAAATTCTAAAACGCATAAAGTTGGAAAATGTCTAGTTATTCAGATTCGCCCTTTTATTAATTATTTGGGTATCTCTAGATTAGAATTTGATAAACTTTTTAATGCTATCGCAACTTTTGGGCGAGAATTATTTTACTAACCCATATAAAATAATTTTTGTGGTCAATAGCAGATTTAGGAACTTTCTAAAATGAAATAACTTATTAATATGAACCAAAGATGATGAGGCGAGACGTCGCTTTTGGCAGGAGGCGCTCGATACGCTCCCACTACTTCAAGCGAATATGGACTCCATCTCACCGAGAAATATCTTCCATAAGCCATATAAAATTATAATGGAACAAATAGAAGAGCCGGAAGTGCCAGTGTATTTCAAATAGAGCTAACGGGGATTCCCATAGCAGCAAAAGAAATAACCAGAAACAATATCACTGTAGGAACATGCTTATCTATACAGATCGCAGACAAGCACTACTCACCCTGAACAGACCGCGAATTTACTCAAGGTTAGTACTAGAATGTCACGAACCTTTGGCCAAAGTATCCATCAACAATGTAGTCACCTTAAGATGGATCAAAGGTGACGCAACATCGAAAGGTAACCGTCTTGCTGATTCACTAGCCAAGAAAGTAGCCAACCAACTACTTTTCTGAAGTAATTAACTTGACAAGCCCCATTTACAAGTTTACAAAGGGGCTTGGAGCATAGAACTTTCAAGTCCTTAAAGTGCTTCAAGCACTTTTACAATCACAAAGTACTCAAGCTCTGACAGAAGCGCCAAAGATTGAGTGCAACCAGCTAGATTGGAGGATCATTAGACGTATAATGGAAGTAATCTTCTAAGATACCGTAGTCAAAATATTGGTCTGCAGCCAATCTTTCTATTTCACAGCGTGTGAAATAGACGGGGTTTCTATTATTTAAAAAAAAAAATGAACTGTTTGTATTCGTTCCCTACATTTTTAAAAAATATTGACAGCACAAGAGGATGGAAAAATATTTTTTCCAAAACGTATATATGTAGCACTTAAATTATAAAAAATAAAAACTATTTGACCGAAAAAACCAAGCAACTTTTTATTTATATAATAAATATTATTTATTATTATCTTAGTCTAGATCTAAATGAAGATTTTCGTTAAGTATATTGAACAACTCGAGCAGATTGGCTGTATCTTACTTAAATATACACTTATAACTGTTTAAAATTAAATGTAGATGACCGGATGTTGATAATAATCATTAACGAAATCTTGACAAATAACATAGATGGTACTTAGAGCTCTTAGATCAGAATCTTCGTATCGTAATGCTTGTTCTACTTAGAAAATAATCAAGTGAGCTTTATAAATATATCTTCTATCAATACCTAACCAATACAAGGCAAAAAATGTTTATAAAGTAGACCATAACCGACAAAGACAAAGATACTAATCATGTCCGTGGTAACTACACGCGACTCCGAATTAAATCCAAACTGTCTCATAAAAAGAAGAATTGTACGCGCTGACGATATGCCTGAATTTTTACAAGGACTACTTTAAAAACTATTTTTGTGGATAACCAGATATCTTTAATAATGCCTATTTATTTTTCAGAGATGCAGCGATACAAGAGTATCGAACAAAAGAATATTTTTAACCTTCGCAAGAACTTTACCGCCATCAAGTAAAGTTTCCAAGAGCGTCGTAGCCTTACTCAGAGCGTTCGACTGGCATACATTTGTAGTTGTATCAGGATCTCATCCGGCATCTGGCAGCGAAGTTCAAGAAGCGATCGAGGTAAGTGATCACAAGATTTTTCGAATATACATCTGCCATTCGGAATGAAGTGGGTCTAATTCCCACTACCACCAGGGTATCTATTCTTGAATTTCAAGGAGTATAAATTTTTAGGGAAGAATGAGACAAAAATACAAATTTTCTGGGTTGCAGATAAAGAGGAAAAACCAATTTTCTATTCCCTCGAATTCAGGAATAGCTAACCCGATCTCTTATTAGTTTATTCAGCAATTGGCAAATACTTGGTCTCTAATATCCTCTTAGATACTCATTACCTTTCACCTCATGCGTTCAGATCCCAGCTCATTGATCAATTCAGTGCTGTTGAAGAGGCTAGGAAAGCCTACAGGGGCTGGCTCCAGCCCGGGAGAATAAAATACACAATACACATGCTTAACCTCTTTACCTAAAAGCATACCACATTTATATTTTTTTTTAGTTTGTACACTTACTTATGTGTTGAGAATGATGAGGTTTTCGAGTTGATGAAATTAAGGTTTTTCCTGGACCCAAATTTCAAAATAATTGTTAAATTTACTGCTCAAAATTAAAATCGCTAATATTTATAATTGAAACTAACCTGTTTTTGTTTGTTTATTTTAAATCCTTAACCACACGACTCATGGGCGTCGTTACACAATTCTATAGGGAGGGGCAAAATTTGAAAACATCTAGAATGTTTATTTGTTGAAAAACAAAGAAAATGAAAAATAAAAGAGTAATACAAATCAACAAAAGTTTCTAATAAATAAAATAACCCAACAAAAAAGACAAAAACTAAAATAAAAAAAATTGTAACACGAAAACAAAAAAAACCACTCAAACACGTCGACGAACACTAGGAAAACGCAAATGTTTAATTTCTTCTTCCTATACCTACAATAATCAATAACAAAAAAAAATATTTCTTTTTAGTTTTTTGCGATTATTTTTCGATGTACGCTCATCATGCAAAGCGCAGTCAGCCTATTTCCATTCATTATTCGTTCTGTGCATGACAGCAGCGCCAACTAATCTATGAACTAACGGACGATAGTTTCTTATACTGACAATTCAATTTTTAAAGGAATTCCTAATTAAAAAATATATATGTTGGTTTTAATAAAAGTATATGGATTTGTAAAACAAGTGAAAAAAATAATTATTATTTTATATTTTTATTACTTAAGCTAAAAAAAAATGTATGATATGTTGCCTACGCCTAAGTTGTCATTGAAGAATAGGTTAAATAATGTGAAAATAAAAACATTACCATTATATAATAACGTAGTATTAAAACGTATTAACAAAAATAATTGGTAAATTTGCGATTGTAATTTATATTTTCGAGAAAACCCATAGAAATTAATGATTAAAATTGGTTTCCTATCAATAAGTCACAAGATTGCATTTCAGCCACATACAATAATTAAAGGCAGAAACCTAATCCTTGCTGAACATTTAAGAGTTAATGGATGTTGAACAACAATGTAAAATAATAGTTTATTGTTTATTTAAAACCTTTCAATTTTCTGATGTCTACTATTTCCAGTATAACTATTATTTTTACAAAAACAAAGTTCTTTTTTTCTTATTGTACAGCTATTCATTTATTTCTTTGATTTAATATATAATTTACACTGTTTTTTCTGCTAGTATTTTTACAATTTACAACAGAGCAACTGCTATTGCTTTTTGTTTTGTTTTTTTACCTCTAAAAAAAAAGTAAAATATATAGGTAAGTCTAAGATATAGATATGGAATAAATATATTTAGCTTATAATATTCGTCAACTGTATTAGCATGAATATTATTTCTATGGGATTGTTGTTTAGCTATTTCTTCTATTTCCTTAAACAATTCAATCAATTTAAAGGCTCCCTTGTGTTTATTGTTATGCGTGCACGAAATATCAGTAATTCATGTATTAAGGCTGTTACGATACTAAATTAAGTACTAAATTTAAAACTAAATTATTGCATTTTTAAGTACAAAAAAATTCACGGTGCAAACTGCAAATTTAGTATTAAATTTAGTACTAAAAAAATAATTAATTAATTGGAACTTTTTCTATTTTCTACTAAATTTAGTATTAAAAATGCGTTAAAAAGTTGCGCAGTTTTTCTCAGAAAAAGTTGACACAACGGTCTTTTCTGCACCATTGTGTTTTTTCGTGGTTTTTAGTAGCATTGCTGGATTTGGTTGTTGTCAAGTCAACTAGTACCAAAGTCATAATAAAAACATCTTTTAATTCACTTGTCTCATTTACACAAAATGTTTGATTTACTGTGCTAATTTCACGTAATAATACGTCAATGCGCGTGCGCCCATACTTAATTTAGTACTAAAAATTGGTATCGTTGCAAAAGGAAAAATATTTTTAGTTCTAAATTTAGTACTAAATTAATAACTTAATTTAGGGCTAAATTTTAGTACTTAATTTAGTTACAGCCATTACGCCTTGTACAGTCGTAAACGCCAGGGGGGGGGGGGGAGAACTGCCCCCCTTGCCCCTCACTCCAAACGACGCCCATGCCACACGTGAAACTACATCACCTCAACACTAAACTTTTAAAAATCCAACATAATTTTTTGAAATCTCAAACAGGTCTAAATTAACTAAATTAAGCAGATCTTATTCCATTTTATAGTTTCGAAATCACAATAAACACTTTAACATTTGGCAAATATCAAACCTCTGAAATAAAAGTAACCTACTTGATATAGCCGCTGTTTTGCTCGGCACTTTCTATTTATTGTATTAATACGTTGCCATATTTATTGATTTTTAGGCTATGAAAGAAAATGATATCAAAATAACATAAACAAATACTTATAGTATGTTTAATAAACAGCTTTTAGATTATTATCTATTTCAGATCTGTTTATTGTACCATATTCATATAAAATTATTAAAAAAATAATCTTTCCAAATACCACTCTTCCTCTTAAATTTTATCTTCGTTGAAACTAATAATGTAATCTATAAACTTTGGAGGACTCGAGATATTACCTTTAATAAAACTAAATAAATAAACTACTCATCATAATTTTTTAATTTTTTTTTTCAGGAGCAAAGTCAACTACACGGCCTTACTATAACAGACACAAAATTATACTCCGATTACATACCTGAATATATTGAGCAGATGGATAACATCGTCGCAGATACTTATCTCAGAACTAGAGGTTCGTGTTTTTCTTTTTTGTCGCTACATTTACATTTAAATAGAAAAAGTAAGATATATGTAAAAAAAAATTCAATTTTAAGTACTTAATATGCAATTTAAAAAGAAACTGATCGTCACAAGAAGTTTATAAAGTGTACTTAAACTTTATAACTTTTTATTATTTTGATGAGCGCTTTATATTCTCTGAACTAATCTACCTATTAGGCATTTCAGTGCCAGTGACCTTTTGACAATTAAAATACTTGCCTGATATTTTCGTGATACATATGTTAATTTGGACTAGCAAAGCGAAAAAATCGATTAAAAAGTCTTAAAATCAATAAAGAAAAATTTTCTATTAAAAATATTTGATTACACCTTGTATATAAAACGACTGATAAATTGAAAAATGTATATTTGAGTAAAGAGGTTTAGAAAACTAATTTGTAATGCATTTTTTTATAATTTTAATAATCTCAAAGTTACTAAATTGCTCAAATGTGATTGGTCACATCAGTTTCTCAAATAACTAGATTTGGAAAGAAATCTAGAGATTATTAAGAAAACATTTAAGGCTGCTAAGATATTTTAAAAATAAAAGACGATTCCTTGTTCCTATTATAATAAATCAAATTTAATAAAGAAAACAGAAAAATATTTATTAATAACCTAGAAAATTTGTCTATACATTATTATTGAAAGTTTATTTTATTTCAAAAAAGGGCAAAATAGAATGTGTTTAAACTTACAACCTAGTAATAATGTTTTATTGGTCTTTATTTTACATTAAAAATTAGCAAAAAATAATTAAATTACAATACACGACGAAATAACCCATATTTTTAAAAACAAAATAACACTGATAAGCCATATAAACACTGTACAAGTCGTTAAGAATAAATAATTAATATTAGGTTCTATTTGTTGATAAATTGATGTATATGCAACTAACAATACAAGAAAGTAGCAATACTGGTTGCCTAGATGTCAGTAATTTTTCACCAAAATTAGAAAAAATATTGTATGTAACACGTTACAAAATGCCGTTTGATGTAACTCAGTAAAGGAGCAGCAACAGTTCAAGAACAAGCCCCATGTTAAATCCCATAATAAATCGCTAAGGTTCATTCTGCCAATTTTTACGGTGACGTCACGCGTCGAGGATCTTATCAGTAACTAACTTCTCGGGCCGCCAGCGGGGAAGTGGGGGGGAACGAAAAATCATGCAATTGCCAAAAGGACCTACAGTTCATCAAATTTCTAGAGGCTTTCGACGGCTAGACAGAGAAAGCACTACTGACAGGCATCCCGACGGATTTACGCAATGAAAGTACACTCTGCGCATCAAGTATTTCACTATTTCATTCAGACGTAAATGTCAGATGTAAATTTCGCTAAAACATTTCTTTTATTTTCGTTTGTGTTTTTTGCTCATTACAGTTTAATAGAACCTAAGTATGGAGTTTAATAGCAAATTAAGAGGCCACGTGATTAACAGTCAATCTCGCGAAATAATAGCCAATGTTTATGAGAAGAGAAGGAAACTTTAATTCACCTTCAATACCATTTAAAAATGTAAATGATCGTGTTGCTGCAGCCACAGGAGTATCTAAAAACACTGTCGTCCGCATTTCTGGAGAGAAAAAAAGAATCGATAACCGTGAGATATCGGAATTTTCATCACCAAGGAAAACCATTAAAAACCAAAAACAGTTAATGATATAGATGAAGCTGCACAAGAATCAAATTTTATTTTTTTATTATTAGATAGCTATTTTTGTTTCTGAGTTGTGTTCATTTACAGGCTCAATTTTTTTCCGTTTCTCCTTTTTGATTTTATATGGGGTTTCAAGTTGTTTTTGACTTATTTCGACGTAAATCACAACAACACACTTTTTTAATAAAGCAAACAAGTGTTAAGAGGTATATGTACGTGTAAACTACAATTACAAAAAATTGATATGAAACCCATGAAACCACCAACAAAAATGTAAAGCTAGCTTCCGTACTAGAACATGGTGTCATTCGTCGAGATAATTTATCGTTTTGTTTAATAGATCAAGAAATGCAAATATTCCCGTTATTTTTTATAAAATTATAAGAGAAATAAATTTTTTTCTAAATAGTATAGTTTATTATTTTGTAGAAAAACAAAATTTCGAAAATTTTAGTAATGTTTCAGAAACAACCGTTATTAATAATAGGTACCATTTTCCTTAATAAGGTAGAAATAAAATATAAACTATTTCCACGATTTACAAAGGCCTACAAAAAAATTATAGGTATTTTCCGCTATCCTATAAAATTTATATTTTCTGACTCAATTTCAAAAGGTTGAAGGAATTCCAAAACACCTTTTATGGCATAATAATTATTTTCAATTCTACATACTATCTTTAGCTGCTTTTAAAAACGTTCTAAGAAAGTCCAATCAGACCAATTTAATCCCTAAACTATTCCACACTTTTAAAATTTTTTTTTTTTTTTTTCTTTAGTGTACGGCTTCAACATCTAAGGTCATTAGCCTAGTGTTCTATGTAGGTTATGGATTGTACTAGTAGTCTAATACTAAAAATATTAAAAACTATTTAAAATAACTTGTTTAGCAGACTGTACAATAGCTATCTTAGTCACACGTAGCGCGTTCTCTGTCTGGGCGTCGAACACCTCTAGAAATTTGATGAACTGTAAGTGTGTATCTTTATTGCTATTGGTCCGATTCAAAAGGGGAAAACGTCATTATGTAGAGAACTCGAAAACGTTGAAGAGAAAAATCATGCATGCCAAAAGGACCTAAGTGTGTTTCTCGGTTATTATAGATCGGATTTAACCAGGAAAAATGACATTATATAGATAACTCGGTATAGATTAACGTCGAGAAGAAAAATCATGCGCAGTGACAGGTCAGAAGGGCCTAAAACCTATATCTCTCTTATAACTGGTCCGATTCAAACGGGTGAGTATGGGGAATTACATGTAGATTAACGTTATAATGCGCAATGATAGGCCAAATGGGCCTAAAACTTATATCTCGGCTATTTCATCGATTCGAATGAGAAAAACAGGGGAGTTGAGGAAATGCCAAACTGATGTACAGTGGCTTAGCCAAAATATGAGTTTTAGTAAACGTGAACGGTGAATATCGTATTCTCATATCTCTACGTAAACCAAAAATAACATATAGGGTGTTTTAAAACGTTGGTCGTTCCTAAAATTAATTTTATTTTGAGATAGTTTGTATTTATTTTATGAAAATATTAGATTGTAATGAAACAAAAATTAGGAAACAATATTACAAAATTATTTGTTTATTTTAACGAAACGTATGCTGCTTAACAGACCAATAATAAAGATAACAAATTCTTGTATTTTAACCAAAAAATAAAGTCAAAATTATAAAATAATTGAACAAGAACCATAACAATATTATACTTAATTAAAACGAATTTACCTAAAATATACATCCCACATAATCTTAAGATATTGTTAACATTCAACTTAAAATACTAAATACAAGAAATATTTGTAAAAAATAGAGAAGCCACCAGAAATAAATCAAAACCTCGTTTCGTAAAACATTCAGTAAACAAAGTCCTTGGAAATAAAATATTATTAACAAAAAACAGAACCATTCACAAATCAAAGGTCAGAAAACTATATGCTAATATTAGACTTTCTTTACAGAACGATCGAAATGTGGACGATAATACTGCCGTGCTAAGCGGAAGCGTCCTAACTAACAAAATTTGAAATTTTGTCCTAACTGCATTTTTGGTTACCTGCCCTGCTTCTGCAACTAATATACTAAGCGAAATCATCCTATCTCATTTAGTTAACCGTCAATTATGTGTGTTTGTTTTGTCCTATCTACAAAATAACACTAAATAATAAGATATTTTGTCCAAACTAACATTCCATACCTATTTATGTCCTAACTGCACACATAGGACAATTTGTTTAGTACACATAATTATTGTAAAATGCGATTACAAAGCAAAAAGTCTTATCTGGCAGATTGGACTAGTCAGTTTAGGAATACTTACGTACGCTGTTAGCAGTGCATCACATAGGACAAAAATGCTTAGTAGGCTCGTGCTATTTGTTGAAAATAACCTTCAAATTCGTGTAGCAACCTGTGAGAGCGGCCTGAAATGAAGTGTTTATTGTAAAGATAATTGAAAAAAAAAAAATAGTGGTGTTGATATAATAAGTTAAAAAAGTAATAAGTAAGTATTTTAAAAATAGTTATTTAAGTAACAAGTGTGTAAGAATGACCTTTGTTGATTAATGTGTTAATGTGTATCACCTAAATAAGAAAACGTAACTTACGCTAAATTAGCATGCAAAATTTTTTCCACTACCAAACATTGTTAACAAAAATTAGAATTATTATACTACATTATTTACTCACTAGTGCATAAAGTAAAAACGATTAAATATGTCTGTAACAGTTTAATGTCAATAGTTTGAATATTTTAGGACGCTCACATGTGACCTTATCAGACTTTTTGGTTAATTATTGTAAATATAATTAACAAAAAATAAAAATACGATTTAAGCAAAGGAAGCGAAATATTTTTGTACGTAGAATTATTTGTAGAATTATGTGAGTTTTATTCGATTTTTTTATAAAAATCTGCAATTAAAGGTATTTTTTCAGAATAATGGACGCAGATGTTCAAGTGAATGTTAACAGGCGAAGTAAATTGTTGGTTACACTGGCACTAAACAGGGATACAAAACTCAAAAATGGAGAAAAGGAACCAGAATATTAAAAACACTCAACCAAAAGATCCTGATTATATTATTTCAGGAAGTGAACACGATTCTTTTTCAGGATCTGACGATTTTTCTGCTTATGAAACAATTGCCAAAGTTACACGTTTGGATAGTCATGTAACAGCTGATTCCCAACTCGAACACGAAATCAGTGACCAATCAAATTACGGTATGGTTATGGACATTGTCGGGGACATTGTCAATTTGTCGCTTGACTGTGTTGAAAAAAAGCACAATAAA